GGCCCTCTGTGTGTGCGTGTGTGTCTGGGGTGAGCGGCTCCCGGCTTGGGGTGGTTGTGTCTTGGTGGCGTGGGGCTGCGGGGTCTCATCGGAGCGGGACGGGTGTGCGTGGGTGGGGGTGTCGCGTCCCTGCTCCTGGAGGCTGTTGGGTCCAGGGGGTGTGTGGCACGGTTGTGTCTGGAGCGTGCCGCGGCTGGGCACGGTTGTGGTGTCCTGGGCTGCGGGCTTGTTCGGCTCCCGTGCCCTGGTCGCGCATGGCTCTGCTGTTGTGTCTTCGGGCTGAGCGTGTAGCTGGCGTGTCCCGGCTGTGCGTGGCTCTGCTGCCGTGTCCCGGGGTGCGCGGCTGCCCTGCTATGGGACTGAGCGCCTAGCCGGCGTGCCCCGGCTCTCCGCGGCTCCGTTGCGTGCCCTTGCCGTGTTTCGGGGCGGCGCGGGGCTCGGCTGCCCTGCCCGGGGCGGCGGTCGGGCTCCGCTGCCGGGGCCGGCCGGCGGCGATGGAGCACCTCGGGGCTCACCACCTGCACCAAGGCCAAGCCGAGCCCATCAGCTTCGGCATCGACCAGATCCTCAACACGTCGGAGCCGGGCAGCTGCATGGTATCGCACCCGCGGTTGCAGGACTCGGCGGACTACGGGCTGGGCTGCATCGTGGGCAGCGCCTACAACACGGTCACGGGTGGCTACGGGGCGAGCGGCGGCGCGGCCGGCGCCTACACCGGCACCTCCTGCAGCATGGGCGGCCTGCCCGGCTCCTACAACGTGAACATGGCGGTGAGCATGAACGGCAACACCTTGAGCTCGGCCGGGGGGGTGATCCGCGTCCCGGCCCATCGCCCGGTGGCCGGCGGCGTGCACCAGCCCCTCTCCGCCGCCGTGCCGGCGGTGAACGGCATGAACAGTCTCACGGGGCTCACCTTCCCCTGGATGGAGAGCAACAGGCGGTACACAAAAGACAGGTTCACAGGTGAGTCGGGCCACCGGCACCCCCTTCTTTCTCTCCCGCTCCCGCCGCCCCGCTCCCTTCCCCGCCGCCCGGCCTCGGCGCGGCGGCCGCTGCCCGCCGGGCACAGCAGGATCCGGCCCCGGGTCGCACCGGGAAGTCGGTCCCGGAGAAGGCCAGGAGCAAGAAGGGGTGGAAAATCAGGCGCGTTCAGTCCCCGCTAAATGCGTTCGTTTTGTTGTTTTTTTTTTTGTTTGTTTTTTTTTTCTTTATTCGTTTGCCTTTCTTTTTGATTGTTTGGTTTGTTGTTTTGTTTTCCCGGGAAAGGCAGGCAGGGACAAAACGGGACGGCAAACTCGGCACACCTCTCGCAAGCCCCGGGCACGGCTGCCCGCTCCCCGCCATCCGACCCAGCACCGGGGGAAAGTTTCCTTCAAACCAGAGGGTTATTCCGGAGCCACGGCCCGGCCCGGCGGGAGGGGAGCCCGGCGGCCACGGCCCGGTGCCGGCCGGTTTTTCCCCGGGCCTCCC